CAAAAACCACCTTCCGTTTTTGGTCGTTTAGTGAAAACCATGCAAAACGGCACGAACTTGGCTAGCCATGGTTTTCAACTAAATGACGTGGTTTTTAAGATGTTTTACTTGATTTCTTAGCAAAATGCAATAAACAAATGTTTTCTAAACTTGGTTTTTATTTTGGAGAACTTGCGTTTTTGACATCGGCTAACGGCGTGACTAAACCAACCATGGTCTGGCTAAACCAAGCCCAACAGCGATGTTGGGGTGATCAACAGCGCTGTCTGGCCTGGGTAACCAAAAACATGGTTTGGCGTTAAGTCTTCCAACGGCGATGTTGGACATCAGACATCGCTGTTGAGCCGAGGTTGGCTTCCCAGAAACTTCTGGAACAGCGATGTAGGCTCCCCTACAGCGCTGTCCAACCTAAGCCAAAAATATAGTGCATTGGCAGAAAGTTTTTGGACAGCGATGTTGACCCAGCAACAGCGCTGTCAGGCCAAACTTCCATCTTCAAAAGTCAGACCTAAACAGCGATGTTCAAGTTATAGACATCGATGTAGGGACCTGACCGTTGGAAGGAATTTAAGGCTAAAACTTTCCTTGTTTGGAAGTCAACAGCCAAAACAGCGATGTAGGGGCTTTTGGACATCGCTGTTGGCATGACCGTTGCTTCCCAATTTTTAAAAACCAAACCTAGAACAGCGATGTCCAGGCCTAGGACAGCGCTGTCTAGGTGATTTTCAGCAGATCCAATTTTAATCAAATCCCACAAATTGTGCCAATCACCCCTTTAATGTTTCGGTCCATTGGAACCTATTTTTCCACTATAAAATGGGGTGTTTGGGTCTGTTTTACACATCACATTACTTCACAACTTCTACTCTTTCGTTGCAAATCATCCTTCAATTTTTCATAGCTTTTGAGAGCCATTTTTGTGAAGCTTGTGTTGTGTTCTTGAGCGGTCTTAGTTTACTCATTATCCACTCTTAAAGAGAGTATTGTTCTTGAGTGATTTTAGTGTTCTTAGACACTTGACAAGAGAAAGTATTTCTCTTGTTGCTCGAAGGAAGGGCTGTTTCCTTCGAAGGTTCGTTGAGGTTCGTGTGACTCGAATTCTCAAGTTGTACGGGTTTGTTAAGCACCGTTAAGCTTAACAAGATAGTAGTGTAGCTCGAGAGAGTCTCTCGGGAGGCTGGATTAGCCACAAGTTGTGGTGAACCAGGGTAAAATCGGCGTGCCTCTTACTCTTCTCTTTACTTCTCGTTTATTCATTTTTTATTCCTGCGATATTTTGATCAAACGCTATTCACCCCCCCTCTAGCGTTGGTCTATTATTCTAACAACTGGTATCAGAGCCTAACTCGCGTCCAAACTTAACCGTTTGAGAGTAAAGCGATCATGGGCTCTTCTTCTAGAAATCTCTATGCAGGAATTGGAGAAGGTCAATCTACCTCTAGGCCACCACTCTTTGATGGCACCAACTACTCTTATTGGAAGGAACGGATGAGAATCTATATTTGTTCCACAAACTTCCAATTGTGGTTGGTGATCAAAAATGGCGAAGAAATCCCCATGAAGAAAGTGGGAGAAACCACGGTCCCAAAGACCGAAGACGAATTTGATGCCGAGGACATCAAGAAGGTTGAAAACTATGCAAAGGCCATCAACATGCTATATTGCGCAGTCAACCCCGATGACTACCGAAAGATCTCCTGTTGCACAACCGCCAAGGAGATGTGGGACAAGCTTGAAGTGACGTACGAAGGTACCGATCAAGTGCGTGAAGCCAAGATCGATTTTCTCACCCAAGAGTACGAAATGTTCCGAATGAAAGAAGGTGAGAAAATCGATGACATGTTTGACCGGTTCTCAAAGATCATCAACGATCTTCATGCTCTCAAAAAGACCTACACCAACAAGGATCTTGTGAAAAAAATTCTGCGGAGTCTCACACCCGAATGGAGGTCAAAAGCCGATGCAATCTACGAATCCATCGGAGTCTCCAACGTCACCATCGACGGGCTAAGAGGTAACCTTAAAACCTATGAATCTACTATTCTAACCCCGTCTTTGGATGAACAAAAGAAGAAGGGAGTAGCGCTGAAAGCCACCAAGGAACCGGTGGAAGAGGCTTCAAGCGATGACGACAATGAATTCGGGCTCGTCATCAAGAAGTTTCACAAGTTCATGAAGAAGGAATTTGAGCGGAAGGGAAGGAAGCACGACGGTCCTCCCAAATGCTACGGCTGTGGTGAGATTGGGCACATCAAGCCAAGGTGTCCAAAGGCCAAACACGGCAAGGACAAGCCTGGCTTCAAGAAGCAAAGGGCCTACATCTCTTGGGGTGGCGATTCCGGCGACGAATCAACCGACCAAGAGGAGGACGAAGCTGCAAACCTCTGCCTCATGGCACACGAAGATCAAAGCGACGACGTCCAAGAGGTATGTAACATTTCTTCCGACTCTTATACTTTTGAAGAAATGCAAGAAGCACTTCATGAACTCTATGAGGAATTTGTTAGCGCTTCTAAAACAAATAAATCTTTGAAGAAACGACTTTCTTTACTTGAAAACGATTTTGAAAAATTGGAAAAAGAAAATGAAACACTTAAACAAGAAAACAA